CCTCCGGGCCTCTTGGCTCGGGGCGGCTCATGGTGGGGGCATGTCAAAACTCCTTAAACCTGCAGGGAGAGAAGTGAGCGGCTGAGCATGGCAGGCGCCATTTGGCAGGTGTTGGGATCGGCGATGGGTGCCACAGTGCTGCCAGAGAGATGGAAATGAAAAACGGCTCTGCTGGGCAACCCCAGCCCCACCTGCACCACAAGCCCGGAGGAGAAGCAGGCACGAGGAGGACACCCAGCCACCGTTTGGTCTCCAGCCAAAGCTGAAACATCCCCCAAAAAAACCCCTCAGTGTTTGCGCCTCCTCTCTGTAAGCTGCTCCAGAGACAACGTGCTCCCCAAAGCCCTCAAAGGCATTGCAGTATTTCCACAGACTGAGGCAGCTGCTTCCCCTCAGCACAAAATGGCCAGATTTTGGTGCAAATGGGATTGGTGCCAACCTGGCCAGGATAGTGTTCACCCCAGCCAGCCCCAGCACAGGAGAGCGGAACCTGACAGCCCTCCACCGGCGGCCGGAGAAGATCTGGGCCGCACTTACCGCAGCGCGAGGCCGAGACTATTGGTCTTTCACCTGCAAACACAAGATATAAAGGACCGAACGTTCGTGGGAGCAGGTCTGGGGTCTGGCACCCCCACCACCGGGACTGGCTGCGGCCCCTTGTCCCTCGGTGCTCGCGCGGGGGCTTCGGTGGCGATTGGAGATGGGCCAGTGCTGATTCAGAGATTATTTACACCCTTGCTGCAGTGATTTGGCCACAGATTTGATTAGCGAGCCCACGCTCTGTGTAATCAAGCTCATTAGCATGGGTGGGCAAGTCAGGCTATAAATTTGGCCATTTTGAGTGCATTAATCAATGTTTTGCTAATCGTGCATCTGGGCTGATGTTTCGTAAGTCAGCCGGAGACCAGGATGCGCTGCCCACCCACCCATCTGCACTCTTTTCCCCAGCCATCATGATTTGATCCCAAATCTTGATCTTGGCCCTTAAATTATCAGCAGAGTGGCTGTTGCTAGGCTGAGCCTGCCAAGCAAAATTCAAAATCGAGGTGAATCGGGCTTAAGTTTGCATGTAATTCTCAGGGCTCAAGCAGGGATACTCACACCGAGCTACTTCCCGTCCAGCACTGACTCTGTTAGCTGCACGCTAGAGCTACAAAGACACAAGGACGGCACGTTTAGCACCGAGAGTGTTTTATGAGGCACAGGTGGATAAAATCCCATGGGTGCTGCCTTGGCTTAAGGTGGAAATGTCTTTGCGCCCACAGGAGCGAGACGTCGGGCAGACAGCCCTATGAAACCTGACGTGATGCCCGCGTGGAGACGCAGCAGTGACAACAAGGGGTAACAAACGTCTTTCCGGAGCAGCATCGACGCCATGTTTTGGCATCGTGGGACCAGAGGCCGCCCCAGGGTGGTACGTACGTACCCTCTCTTCCTCGCCATACAGCCACACCACCCGCGGACCTCTTTGACCACCACGCGAGCGAGGAGCTGCAAGAGGAAAGGTGGAGGATCAGCCATGGGGCCGACCCTCTGCAGCCACCAGCCTCAGCATGAGCATTTCCATTGCCGGCAGATAAATTTTAAGGCTCTTCCTAGGGAAGATTGCATGGACTAAAACCGTGTGTGGAGGAGGTCGTTAGGAAAAGCCGAGTGAATGGAGGCAAAGGTTTGGAGTCAACACAGGGCTTTGCAATTCACCCTGTGCCTGGCTGTCTCCCAAGGGCCGTCCCTGCCCTCCACTGGCGAGCAAGCGGCTGTAAGGGAGCCCTTGAATATCCAGCGTAGCAAAATGAGTCCTGCCAAGGAGGGACCTACCAGGCAAGCCAAGACATCAGCTGCTATCAACATGTAGAAGACGTTATTCCAGCCCGTGGGGGAGATGAGCCCTGCAAGCAGTGGCCCTAGCGCGGCACCTGCGAGGGGGGCACAAGGCACGTTAGGAGATGCCCCGTGCTTGGGAAGTGCCCACCACCACTGCGGCACCAGGAGAAATTGGCACTCGGCGTTCCCTGGATGCATGTACCTATGGATCCTGTGCCGTCGATGATGGCTGTGACGGTAGAAAGGGCTTTGGCGTTTCCTTTGAGAGACTCGTGGGTTCCCTGTAGGGATGGAGGAGCAAAATGTAAGGAGGAAAAGCGGCTTTGGGTTTCACAGCTGGCAAGTCATAGCGTGAGGCCATTGATGCCCCAGGCAGCAATTTCCCTGCATCGGACCCACAGATGTACGAGAAGGATCAAACTCGGACACTGGCTGCAGCCAAACCATGGCAAAACCGGGAATGCCAACAGCGGACAGCAATCCCAGGTGATTTCCCAGCAAATTTTTCCCCTGGGATTGTGCTTAGAGGGAGACTCATCAGGGCCAGAGCAGAGTCGCGTAGACAGGGTGAAAAAGCAACAGGAAAAGAAGCCATGTTTAAGGGAACGTGTGGCCATGGCACAAGGTGTGACAGCCCTGCCCTTCTCCGCTGGGCTTCAGAGGTGTTGGAAAACAAAGCTAAAATGCAAGAATTCCAGCAAATATCCCTCTAGGAGAGAGGGAGCAGCCTTTGGGTGTGCAGGGAAGCTGGGGCGAGGGATCCGAGGTGCGACTCACCAAATCTGCCGAAACCGCTGTCGTGATGAGAGCGTAGGGCCCGTTAACCAGAGCACCGCAGACAATCAGCATCGCTGCGAGGAGCGAAGCGGCCGCAGAGGTACCCCGGAAGAGATTAAGTCTTTAAGTGCGGGCAGCAGCAGGACTCTGGGTCTGTTCGCCCCGTACCGCGCATCTGTCTCCTGCTTGTCTCCCTTTTCCCCCAGAGATCCCACCCAGCAGGCAGCAAATGCTCACCTGGAACCACCCTCCCCAAATTCTGGGCCAGGAGCCCGGCTCGAGAGGAGAAATAAAGGCAGGTGAGTCCGCAGCACCTTCTCCCTTCGGTGACGGGAGCTGGCTGCGCTGCAGAGCTCCTTACCTATCGATGTGCCGATGCCATTCTGGCCAACGTGGTTATACAGGAACAACTGGAAGAGAGACACAGGATGAACCAGTTTACGGCTATTCCGGCTGTTTTCCCCAAGCGTTCTTCTTGCCGCGGCACCCCGAGGACAGGACGGAGAAAGTGGGGACCTGAATTACCGCTGGCGCCAAACTTCACCCCCACCCCCCCCCCCGCCCGCCACGGCATTTGAAGAGGAGAGCACCAGCCGGGATGGGGAGCCAAGCGCGCCCTTGGCTCCACGTCCCGCCGTCTGCCTGCCAGATGAAATACCTGGCAGCTGGCAAACAGAGGTGCTGCCGCGATTTATGGCCCAGCAAGGCTCACGCGCCTCCCCGCCGCCTGAAGCCAGACGGTAATTTGCCCCGCCGGCGCTATCAGGGGACGCGGACGTGACGTGGCCTCTTTGCTTTTCGGCATGCGCCAGCTTCTTCGGCGGGGAGGGGACCCAGCGCCAGCCAGGCTTGGGTTACAGCTAATTAGCTGCGCTTTTTGCAGCAGCAAAGCCAAACAAGCTCCACGCAGGTGCTCAGGAAAGACGTCCTGTCCAAGCGCCAGCGGAGCATGAAGCCGTCAGCACGGAGGCTTTCGGGATGCAAAGCAAAGAGGCGAAAGCTGGACCAGCTCAATGGGACCCTCAAGGCTTTAAGACAGAGCAGTGTTATGGCAGGATGGAGGGGAAAAAAAAAAAAAACAACTGTAAAGGGTTTTGTTTTTCAGCTGTCAAGGACTCTACAATCCCCTCCCAGCCCCCAGATCTGGACGTCCATCCCTGGAGCATCTGGGCAGGCGGCTCAATCCCAGCTCTTGTCTCAGCCAAGCGCATGACCAGCTCATCCCGGGCGCTCGGGAAGAGAAAGGCGGCCATGACGCAAAGGAGCCGGAGGCGAGGAAAACCTCGTGACTGGGTTTATTTTCCGTGTGACAACGCACCATGGGAGCAGCGATGACCAGCATCACGCAGCACGTGGTGGCCCTGCCACCGGTGTAGTCAGAGATGAGGCCGGCAAAGATCCCGCCTGCAAGAAGGAGTCGCAGGGGTCGGTCATGCCACCCCCGTGGCAAAG